TTTGCGAGAGTCTGAGGGAAACCTATCTGATCGTTGTCCGGAACGATTGCATCGGGATCGGCTGGAGGATTATCAGGCGTTGGGAGAACAGGTTCTGGTGGAGCTGTTAGAATTCTCGCCACAGACACAACAGTAGATGAGGCAGGAGGGGGCGGTACTCCCTGCGCTTTGGCTGTTCGAAATTTCTCGCTGACGAGCGAGACGTGACTGATCAGAGGCGAGACGTTTCTTGAAGGCGTCACCCTTTGCAGTAGGGACTGGAATACGGGATGATCGACGAGGTGCAGGAGCTGCTGTTGGCATGGGACGAGGTGCGGGAGCAGCTGTCGGCAGAGAAGCCATTGGGATGGGTGCTGGTGCGGTCCCAGACGAACGATGTGGGATGCAAGTATCATCATCGTCGTCATCATCGCTGTCTGGGAAGGGGTGATTAGTGAAAGTTTCATCAAATATCACATCCCGCGAATTGAAGAAGGCACCCGTAGCAACGTCTCTGCAGCGCCATGCTTTTACACCTGGGGGATAGCCCATGAAGATGGCTTCACGTGAGCGTGGCCTGAGTTTCTCTTGGAGCTCCGTGGGGATGCGTGCAAAACATCTTGCGCCGAATATGCGAAGGTGGGTGAGCGTAGGTTGGTTTCCAGTAAGCATCTCATAGGGTGTCTTTCCTGGTGGAAGGGCACGTGATTCCGACCTGTTGAAAAGATAAGCTGCGGTGAGTGCAGCTTCTCCCCATAGATTCCTTGGAAGACGCGCATAGTCCAACATGGCATACATGCGACCCTCAATGGTGCACATCACGCGCTCCAGCCTTTCCGTTCTGTTGGTGGGCATATGAAGCTGAGCATTGTCGTTCAATGCCAGCAGACTCGAGAGAGGCGGTAAATGCGTCGTTGATGAATTCCCCCCCGTTGTCCGAGCGGAAGACCTTGATGCGAAGTCCTGACAGATTTTCCCACTTAGCACGAACCATAGTCCAAGCGCCCAGAGCTTGATCCTTTGTTGCAAGGAGTTGGAGATTGAGGATGTGAGTGTGATCATCCAGAAAAACTATGAAGTAGCGCTTGGCATGCGGTGTGATGACGGGTATAGGTCCGCAGACGTCGGAGTGAATGAGCTCCAAGAATCGAGTCGCTCGTTCCGTTTCCGAGCAGTGGTATGGGAGATGAGGGTGCTTCGCCATTATGCAAGACTCGCAGGTAGAGAGGGGAGTTTCTGTGTCGAATGAGACGCCTTTCGCAACCTTGGCCAGATGGGTTACTGCATTTCGGCCCAGATGACCCAGGCGTGCATGCCAAAGATCAAGCGTGAGAGGGATGTGAATGAATGCAGTGACCTCCGGGGTAGGAGGAAGAGGGGACGACTCTGTGAAAGGGATAAATCAAGGTCAACAGCATAGAGCTTCCCCGTGGCAGGGATTGCACTGAGGGTGTGTCCTTTGTAGCCCAATTCACACGTCATGTTCGACTTAAAATTGACGTCCCACCCTTTCGCATTCATGCAGGAGACGGAGAGCAGATTGAGCATCGCGTCCGGGGCGTGTAGACAGTTTGAAAGTCTGACACGGAGACGACACTCACCTATCGTCATCCATCCCACACACATTCCCCGTCCCGTGGTCTGGAGAACACCGTGATTCACAGTATGAACAGGGACCGAGTCCGCTGTAGAGTAGGTGTGGAAGAAATGGCGATCTTTGACAAGAATTACAGTGGTCCCAGAGTCCAGAATGGTAGAGAACGGTAGGGAAACGGTGCAAGATACTTCATCTGCAACTTCAGCGATGGAAGCAAAAGAGACGTCATCATAGAGACTAGTCAGGACAGCTGGCGTGACAACAGCCGTGATGGCAGGAATGGACGATGTGGAAGAGGATGGAGGAGCTGTGGCAGGTGCAGTCGTAGCAGCCGCAGCAACAGGCGTGGTGTCTTTCGTTTTATTTCTCATCCACGGGGCTTGCCCTTCCATCCCACCACCCTTCCCATAACAGTGAGCATGGTCATGATCACCCTTGTTGCAACCGGGTGTCAGTGCAAAACACACCCTCAGGATTGTGTTTGTGTTTGCGGAGACCGGTAATAGTATTGACATTGGATGTGCTCCTGTTAGAGGTGGTGGCTGCGTTCGCATACTCGGATCCGGGACAGGCAGAATGGACAGCGTGCGCATGTACATGACGAGCGGCCTCGGCCGTGATGCAAGAGATGCAACTCTCCACCGTGAAGGTGGATGGGGCTCCAGGTACTGCTGTCATGATCTCATCATGCATTCTCTGCTCAAGCATAGACTTAAACTGCTGCCATATAGGCGTGTGCAGTAACCCAATGAGTAGGCTGTAAATAGCGTCTGAGTCTCTGAGAGGGGCTCCCGAATCGTGTAAACGCTCGCGAAGAACGGCGTGCTGGCCATCGTAGTTCGTTGCATCAGCTGAGTCCTTCATGCAAAGAGCATCAAGTCTCTGACGAAGTTGGTATTGTGCGCTGGTATCAGTGCGATTAAAGTGCTCGGCTAAGGTCTGCCACGCTTTGCGTGCCGATACGGTGTGTGATTGTGATACCAGTGCTCCAACTGCACCGCTGAGACGACGAGTAATGAGATCTTTGGCCTTCATGTCGTCCAACAACCATTCACGCATGCTCGTTCTCTTGGCAGCTGTAATGTTGGCAGGATCGGCGGGAACAGGAACAAAAGACGGTGTTCCAAGAAGGTCTGCTGGGTCAACAGCCGTGTTGATGTGACACCAGAGGTCTTCGCACGCCAGTGCGTATTGCATCTTAGTCGACCATCCAACATAATGTTCCGAACCTAATAATTCGGGAATATGGTCGTACTTCCCCATAGCGATACCGCTGTGAGAAAGGAGCGAGATAAAATTAAGAGTACACGAGGAGCGAGCGAGTGAGCGAGCGCGAGGGAGTTTCGTCTTGTAGTTTCGTCTGAGGGCTCAATTTGAGCCGGGGCTCATAACCTAATGAAGGTAGAAACTAAAGACAATGTCTCAGCGTTCGGGAAAGAACTGCTGACATATTAACAATACCTAAAGACAATGTCTAGAGAGAAAAGAACTGTAAGACGGAGACGGCGTGCAAAGGAAACGTAGAACATACCTCAGCGTTCGGGAAAGAACTGCTGAGGTATGCGTGATGCGATGTGACGAGCTTATAAGGTAAGATTACGTAAAGGATCCGTGATGATAAATAACACTATGTCGATGTTGACTTCCAACAGTGTAAGAGACAGATTTCCATTCTGTTCGAGTAAACACTTTGCCCAAGGCGAAGTTGAAATGGACTTCCGTGGAAATGTCCATCAGTGAATCTTCAAGGCGTGTTCTGAGAGAAAAAACATCGTCGGCAGGTTTTGAACCTGCACTGATACAGTCCAAGAGACAGATTTCGATTCTGTCAGAGTAACCACTTCGGCCAAGGAGAACTTGAGATGATTCTCCGAGGAACTGTCCATCAGTGAATCTTCAAGGCGTGTTCGGATAGAAAAAACCTCGTGGGCAGGTTTTGAACCTGCACTCGTAGTGACAGTCCAAAAGACAGATTTCGATTCCGTTTCAGATTATAAAAAAACTCATTGGCAGGTTTCGAACCTACACTGGTACAGTCGAAGAGACAGATTTTGATTATGTTGTAGTAATGACTTCGGTCAAGGCTAAGTTGAGATGCACCTCCGAGGAATTAGGCGTGTTCCGATAGAAAAAAAAACCTGTTATTCGGCAGGTTTCAAACCTGCGTAGTCCAAGATGAACCTCTGAGGAACTGTCCATCAGTGAATCGTCAAGGCGTGTTCTGCACTGGTACAGTCGAAGAGACAGATTTTGATTATGTTGTAGTAACCACTTCGGTCAGGGCTAAGTTGAGATGCACCCCCGAGGAATTGGGCGTGTTCCGATAGAAAAAGAAAAACCCTATTATTCGGCAGGTTTCGAACCTGCACAGTCCAAGAGAAACGAATTTTGATTCCGTTGTGGTAACCACTTTGACGAGGACGAAGTTGAGATGAACCTCCGAGGAACCGTCCATGAGTGAATCTTCTTTGCATGTTCCGATAGAAAAAAAACACTGTTGTTAGGCAGGTTTCGAACCTGCGAAGTACAAGAGAAACCAATTTTGATTATGTTGTGTTAACCACTTGGGCCAGGACGCTTCATGGCCAAGTTTAGACGAACTTCCGAAGAACTGTCCATGTCCGCAGGTTTCGAATCCGCACCACAACTGGAAGAGAGCAGATCTCTAATCTGTTCTGGTGCCAGACGGTTGGCTATGACTACTCTTGAAGCTTGAAAAATCCATCCATGAGTGAATGTTCAAGGCGTGGTAAAAGGAAAAGATTGTTTGTCCTCTGTTACGAGTCGAAGGACATCCTGCATTGACAGTAGAATCACATGGGATTAGCAGTCATTTACCAAAGATGAAATGAAAATACTAGTTTGCGTTTAATTCGATGGACACAAAACATGCCAGGAATAAGGGAGTCGGGGGCTGGCGCCGGGGCCGTCACGATATGACACTGTAACTGCAGGACAAAAAGCCGGACAACCGCACTATACTATGGAACCTAAGTACAGGTTGTCGATTGTGGCTGTCCGGCTTTCCATAGGTGCGTGGTTCCATGAGCCATAGGAATTTTCGCATAACCTGTTGGAACCGCTCAATTGTTGTAAGAACAATTGAGGCCACTGGAAATGATCCAAGATGATAAGTTTGTCTAGATCCATTAAAGCATTTGTCAAACAACTGCATGTTCAGTTGTAATTTTTCGCCAAGGTTTGAATACGATTTACAAGTTACCAATGTCACGAGAAGAAAAATAATCGTACAGGCTAAACACAGCGAGTCCATATCTAGCGTAAAATGGGGACGGCAAGACATGGACCCTCGATATTTAGGGTGACCGATTGTGAGAGAAAAGGAAAGACAAACGAGGACCAGATATGTAAGAGTCCATGGTTGTTCTGTACACACTAAACCTGCGTCGTGTTGTCATGCTACAACAAAGACGCCATTCTCATCACGCAAAAGTGGGGGGTCTGTGGGTTCTCGTCGCCACATTCACGATTGCACCCACTCAGGGAGTGGGTGTAAGCGCGACCACGGCACAAGCCGCCATACACCCCCCAAGGCCCACATTACATGCAATCAGCACAGGAGGTGCTGCAGGGAGTGCGACCCCGAATGTGAACCCGGCGGCGGCGTAGCAAGCAACAGCCAGACCATTGCATCCTGTTGAACAAGTCGGGTCAGCCGCGGTGCACGTTAATGATGTGATTAGACCTTACCTGTCTGGCAAATACCGTAGGCAAGCGGACCCGCGACTACAACCTGAGGGACTGCAGCGGCAGTGAGGAATAGGGCAAGTGATTTGAAGTTCATTTTTTGCCCAGAGAGTGGTTGATAGTAGTAACTTGACTGAATGAGATGGTGGTTAGTATCAGATGAGTCAGGCTGAGTAGAGAGCCCGTTGATGTGTTTACCCCAAGTTTATATAGGTGGGTGACATGGAGGTCGTAGCTCCGTTTCAAATATCTCACCTTGTACATATGATTGCTGTGTGGAGGTGATAAGCCTCATGCCAGATTGCTGACTTTGAATGACATGAGCCGCGAATACAATAACTCCCGCGCTCTGCGCTCGCGCCAAGTCCATGGAAGTTGGAAATTCTTCGAATTGCGACCGCAAGGGTACTAATTAAAGTCTAACAATCAGGCTCCTTCCCTACTGGGCTGGAGCTCTAACGTTATCATCAATACATCAACCTTCCTATCCTTGGTTCCAGATTCTAGTGCGGAGTTCTCGCCCACAACTGCACACATATTTCAAATTCCGAACGCTCCTCATGTCAGATGTCGTTGTCGTGCCCATAGAGTGGATCAGACATTGTAGAGGTGGGTCCAGAAACCTAGGATAAGGTCGGGCTGTGTTTGAAATTACATGCGTGTTGTATAAGGCGTCCTAGGGTGTTTTATGTCACTAGCCACAGGTATCGTCATAGATTGCCAAAACGAAGTGTGATATCCTAGACAATGAGTGCCAGTCTGATGATTAATTACGCACCTTCAGGAAGCCATAGAAGTCCTATATTTGAATAGGATTTCACTAAAAATATGTTGTTCTATGCCACGTTGCTGTCGGTTCCAGATACCAGAAAGAAATCAGATATGTCCATGATCGACGATACCTGATATGTACAAATAATCGAAAGGGAAGGTCAGGCTATTCGAGGCTTTGTGGGACAAAACCCGCAGGGTTTTCGAGCCGAAACATCGTTTCGATCCTCCACAAAAAGCCCAGGATGATCGATGAGCGCTAGCGCTGAGCCGTGAGGGCGGGTGGACCTAAGCAGCTCATGGCCCACAATTTCCGCAACATTCTACCGTCGAAAGTAATGCGCCGAGTAAAGAATTCAATCAAGCGCGAAGTAATCGATCCTGTGAGTTTATTTACAATGAAAATCAAATGTGACCTATTCACCGAGACACATGCTGAAAAAAGGGAGTGGTGGGCGAGTGCGGCGAACCGAAAGAAGTTGAGCAGTAGAGAAGTTGCGAGTGCGAAAGCAGCAAGTCGTGTTGCTGCGTAGACCTCATTCGAAGTTCGTTCTCGCCGTGCCTCGAACTTACGTAGAACATGAAAAAACAATAGTCCACTGCAGCTGCCAGTGGCACATGCTTTGCCCGATTTGAATGTGGTAGTATCATAGAGTCCGTTGTTCGACTGGCCAAGTTTGGTTTACATCTTCTTGCTAGCGAGTCGTTGGATGTGTCCGCGTTGCTAATAGCGCTATCCGCGGTACAATATTATGTAGTCGACAAGTCCGATAGGCTGTGGAGTTGCGAGGTCAAGACCTGGAGGACTGAATACGTTACGCAGGCCCTACAAAGCAAAAAAGGAGTAAAACACAGCTGCCCACTGGCTGGATTGAACAACCGACCTCACCATTACGAGTGGCGCGCTCTACCACTGAGCTAAACGGGCTTGCGAACATAACTGAAACAAAAATACACGGTCACATTAGCCTCATTCTCCGATTTAGGCGATAAGGCACACCTAGCTCGGGATCATAATAATTGTTGATGATGCTCTCCCGGCCGCCTCGTTTGACTTCTGACGTCCTAATTTTATTCTGAAACCCGACCAAGTACTAGTAACTCGTTTCAAGTTCAGTAGTCCCGTCTATCACGTCGTAATGCGCTGCTGGACCGAGTGGCGGAGGTGTAGTTTCAAAACACAAATCCTCACGTGGATCCCCGTCGCGAAGCGATTCACTGCTCATTGCTCAAGAAGAACCTCACAATTTCATTGCAATTTGAAGTTCGTTACTTCTTCATGTGGTCATCGTTCGCCACATTCTGCGCTGCGAAAATGGAAAAGCATTACTGCCGACTCCTCGGAGTGCCGATTGCATGGGATACGATGGTTGTACTATCATGCTGTACTGATGTGCATACGAACAGATATGATCGGAGTTTCGACCCGAGGTATTTTATGCGATAGATCCTCCATGACTCCTTTGGACGTTGACCAATTTTCCCCGATGCCTGATACGTCCCACTTTCTTCGCCTCCCTGACGATGTGCTTGTATATCTTCTCGACCTGACACCTATGAGTGACATGGAGAGTGTCTCACAGGTAGCTGTCGTCATGTCTCCCCTTGTGTACGCGTCGGACTGACCTTCTCGCAGACGTGTAAACAACTCAAAGCTATCTGTGGACTTGTTCGCGCCCCATACCTGCATGAGCTCAATCAAGAGGGTCTGGAGTACAATGCTGCATCCGCATCACAGATGGAGTCCATTTCGCAGGCACTGGCCTCCCTCAGGTGTAGGGAAAACAGGTGGAGGACGATGCGTCCAATCACTTCGTCCTGCCGTTCAACTTTGAATGAGAGCCACTTCACTAGCTACTCTCAAAATATAGCGTTGTATGTATCCAGACAAGTAGCATCAACTGTTGTCCATGGGGACACGGTTGAACATTCAACATACCGTGGCCAAATCGACGAGATCACTCGATTCCATGCCGCTGATGTACTGCAGGACCTTCTTGTTCTCCTACGGATGCACCTTGGGTCAGTGGTTGTCCTCCCACGTTAATGCCCGCAATTAAATAGTATTGACAAACAATTTTTCAGAACAGGATTATCATATCTCTGCTTCCTCTCATTGAGAGGGATGTCTCTGCATCCAGCAGCTGCTAGTCCAACTTGTGTTCTCCTCACCGGCATTAGTTCCATGGGATATTTCTCTGCTCCCCTTCATGCTCATGGTCTAAGAATACTTGGTCCCTGGTGCGCGCTGCTCACAACGGATCGGCCTTCAAACCGGCTGGAAGCACAAGCCAACACACTCTTGCTTTGCAACTGGAAAACCAATGCATTATTCAAATTGGTATGCACATGTCTTCTGACCCGAAAAGTAAATCAAACTAACCAAGAATTGGCGTACATAAGGCAGGGATTCATCCCGACCAAGTCGACGATTTTAATCTTCTAAATTCTCGTACACTTGCCGTCATTCATAGAACCTCGAACCCGCCTCAACTAATACTCCGCCTTTATGACGTTACTTTTCCAAGTCACCTCTCTTCGTCTGGTTGCGTGAGACTCCGCTTGTCATTGCGTTTACCCCGTATCGAGGACCAGGTATCTATATCTCTTGGTCGTATGATACTACCAAGAACGTTGCAAGAGCAGGTGCTTCAGCCCAATCAGCGCCCTCAGGAAGTTTTTCCTCCGAACAGCGGAATTATGGCTCTGTCAATACCCCTTGCCATGGGTGTCGAGAAGGCTTATTTGGACATCGCTATCGACGTTGCAACATTACTTTCCATCGCCCGTGGCAGCGACATTTCTGACCACACGATGCTCTGGAGAGAATGGGGTCCAAAAGCGTCGCGTATTTTCTTGATCGACGAGGCCCTCCACGCGGAAGGCGACGTAGAGCCCCTGCAGGACGTGGAAGGCTATAGAATAGCTTTTTCCAACAACGTAGACTGCAGCGATAGCCGGAATCGCATCCCTGATGAGCATTCCCGTCCTGCAGCCTTTATTTTAGATTTCAATCCTGCGAGTATCCGATGGGCTCGACAGGAGGAGAAGGCAGGTCGTGGACTGCACGGTGTTTTGGTAACAGAACCGAGTGTTTTACGGCCGGGACGTCTGCTTGCAGAGGAGGTAGTCAGCTCTCTACCTTATACCCGAACTATGCTCGAGGGATACTTACCCCAACACCAAATTCGGCTTTCACGAGATGAAGTCGTCTACCCTGTAAGTTCACGTACGTATGCGTCTTTGTTCCACTGGCTTATGGTACTTTTTTCTTAGGCTAATCCGGCGCAAGGATCTCCGCTGCATAATGTTTACAGCTTTGCGTAGGACGATAGAATGGCTTGCTTGCGACGCAACAATTACGATACCTATTTACTTGCACTTTAGATGTTTCCACTCATAGCATAACTATACTCTCATACCGGACACTTGAAAGTACTTGATATTAATCGCTATATTATACTCGACGTAGTAATTTATCTAAGAAGCGTACAATTCAGCTGCTCCCCACAGAGTACACAGCAAGTGTTTATCACAGCCTCTCCCGTGCTACACACCACTGTGAGTTGACAAGTGTATGCGATCTTGAAAGACGATTGAAGTCATGCTGATCCCCGCATCGGAGTCAGCCGCAAGCTTAGCGTGATGTTCTCGAACGTTAAGGATGAGGCGTGGTCCCAGCACGAACTTTTGGACGAGCGAGACAATCGAAAGAACACCAAGATACATCTGGGTTCCCAGAGAATACATGTCCTATGAAAATGATGAGGCGTAATCGCACGCAGAGGTCAGTCACAGCTCGACATACCACTGAGATTGTGGGAGATAGACAAACAAGCTTAAAGCAAGAAATAGCGACAAAGCTAGAACATACAAAGATTCAGCATAGAATGAGGACCCCGTTCACATTATGAGCTCACCTCGCAAAGTAAAACACGTGGATTTTCATCAACTCCGTGACAGAGTCCCCGATAGTTAACCATGCTCGTTGCCGTTCACGGAAGTGTTTGACAGCAATCCAAATCACGAGACACAGTGCGAAGACTTCCCATATAGTGGCGAGTGTCCAACTCATGGAAAAAAGAAGTAGGGTATCTCCCTCCAAGCTATCGGTGCACTGGTAGGTGCCGGAGAGAATGAGCTCCTCTTGCATGATGCATCCCCCGATGAGCCTGACACACAGATCTTTCCACAATTATGACTTACCCTCCAAAATACCCTTCATCGCTATTGCGAAGATCATTCCATTCGTGATGTTGACTGCCAGGAAGACGATAATGAGAAAAACCAATAAACGTCTGGATTGTTGGTACATGGCACGTAATCGAGCGATCATGATCACTTGCACGATGTTTCAGTATAATCGAGGTATCACAGCTGCCCAGCTCACCGCCCATTATTGCCAATACGACGACGTCTACCCAACTCATTGCGAGGTACATAATACGGCCTGAAAAATCCAGAGGTGAGCGCCCAACCTCAAAGGATCACACGCCCCAAACAAACTCACAGCTGCGGCAGTTATCACATTCCATAAACCAACCAGCTAGTCAAGAATGTCACTCACCCCTACATGGGAGTGCAGTGATTGGACAACAACGACAAGAATTAGTGCAGAATACTCACTGTATCAGTCATCGGGATTGTTAAAACATTGGCTGTGTGCCACTTGTTAGAAGAAAGAAATAGTGCATGCGAGGAGACGTAGTACAAAGGATGTTGAGGCTATACAAGATACTGATCAGCGGAGCGCATATTGCTTAGCCTTCCAAACGTACACAGCATATAATATTCCAAGATAGCGCAACTAGATATTCTCAAGTCAGTATAACTTACCAATCACAAATGGATGCTACGCACACTGAGATAGAGAACAGTCATCAGGGACCAGCGTTGCCTCTGCAACGAATCAATTGTATTTTCGTGTTCTTTGGTGGGACTCTGCTCACCCAGAGCAGTTCGACCTATAAAACCGTTCTTAGCGCGCTGGCGGCTCCGGTAACGTCATCGACCTACCTCTTGTCCGAGTGTTAGTGCTGCAAATACCATAAGTTGAATGCCAGTCGTTCATTAATACCACCTCACTCACCCCAATCGTACATCACTCCGGTAGAGGCGGCAACTACAAAACAGTAACCAATGTTAGATCGATATATCGTCCGAATAGCCCTCCACGAACCTGCGAAATAACTGGCTATGCGACTCGAATTGATAAACGGCCACCAACTGGGATCATCTGAGATAAAAGTCATACTATTCGGGGATGGGTGGAAGGGAGCGGAAAACTTTGTGGGCATCTGAGAATGGCGTTCATTCTAAATACCCGCCGTCCAGCGCTTGACTCTACCGCCAGATTTAGCATTATAAGGGTGATACCCGTTGCCATCTTGATTCCATATTGACTGAAGTATGGTCGCATGAGGTCGAGTATTTAAAAGGGAAGTCAATCCAGTGCCATCAATGGCAACGCACTAGATCTTTTTAGGTCGCAACCACGGGGCGAAACGTTTGAACACCGCAAAAGATCGAAGAATTGTTCGTTAGTTTCTGCAATTTGTTCGAGTTGACATCATTCTCAAGATCTTCTTGTTACATTTGCATCATCCAAGGAATTCCATCAGTGAAATTGTGTAGTCCATCGATTGTACACATGGGCCCAGTGTGATGTAGTAACCGCCGGAACAGCCTTTGATAAACTGCCATCCCAGTAAACATTAGTCCTGAGTACATTATTGATGGGCACTCTCTCGGCCTCGCCGGCTCGGGGTCGGGGAGCGTAACAGTTCCTCCATGGTCACTCACTAAGGTCATAATTCACATGGCGTCAGGAAAGTCAGATATGAAAAATAACGTAGAGCCAACGAATTACTCGCCTGTCTCTCCCGAGCTACCAACAACCGCCTTCAAGTACACCTCTAGGCTCTCAGTGCCCAATCTTCTTACTCTCCCCTGGGCAGTCAATAGACGAATGAAGATAGTCCGTTCCTTCTTAAACTCCTGTTCAGGATATTTAGCACAGCGCCGCAGGCGCACGAGTCCTCGATTCTACCTCGGGCATCGGGCTATAAATGTCACAGGAATGCCGAAAACAGGATAAGGGTAGTTTGAGGGCGGTACAACTGTGATGAATCGAACAACACAAGACGTGGCACTACACTAAATCCATGATAGCGCAGTTGATGCAACGTTCAATGTCACGTTGATTTCACGCATCAGCCCGATTCAGCCAGCCTGGTTGCTGGTTGCAGTCTGCACAGCCACATACAGATTCTCAACTTAAAATATCATTCATGTATCTCACTTTGGAGTTCTTTAACTCGTTGGCACTCACTCTGTGTCAATTCATACAATATTATAGGTCCATCGTTTCAGTCATCGCGTACATCATCACGATGTCGCAGTCTCTAATGGCAAAAAGGAATGTGTCGCAGTGATATTCAATCACGGTGTCTTAATACCTCCAAGACTCCTCTCGACCAACATGTAGGCATATTGAACTTGAGTTGAGCCGACGGACTGCATTAGCGGAATTTCCTAGATGAGCCCCTTGACCATCACGCATTATCTCTCGCACTGCTCACCACTTAGCAAAATCGACACTTCTGATCTGGTTGACAATGATCATATCCTTCGATAGCAGCGATGGAGATGTCCTGCTCAATAGCTGTAAATGTGCGACATTCCAAAGGCAGACCTGCTCACCTGAGGCTTATGCCATAAGTTTGAAGTTTGAACCGTGAAAAACGCTTCTTGGACCCGTACCAAGTGGCTCCCCTGCAAGGACCCCCGGAAAAACAACCGTCAACAACGCGCTCAACAGCGCCAAGGCCGCCCAACGGCGCCTTGCGACCAACAGGACCCTTCCACCGACTACCCAAGACACCATACCAAGCGCCACACCGACACAAAAGCAATCAGCATGCCGCCCAACGACCCAACAAGCTCCTCAACCTTGACTCAAACCAGCAGAATCAACCGCAAAACCACCGCAAACAAGCATTACTCTCAACCAGCAAATCAATAGAGGACCACGCAACCGGTCTAGGAGTGAAGACAGACGTCGACAACTTAAACGCTGCAAGAAAAAACGCTCAATACACACGGCCTCAACCTTCCCATGGCTGGCAACATCCTTCTGGCCATTTCGACTGCATTATTTGAATTCAGCGCGTCTGCCAACCTAGGCGCCACTCACACAGATATAATACGTGCATTCGCGTTCATAACTCACGAGGTTCAGAAGAACATCAACGCGGAAGAATCATTGAGAAAGTCGGAGCACTCATGGGCGGCCCAGTGGCAACTCTGGATGAGAAAGTCGAAGCATTCGAAGAAGTACTAGAGAAATACAAGTCAGAAATGGAGAAGGGTGATCACAGAGGTGTGTACCAACTTCCAACATCCACAGAAGAACTAGTGAAAGCGGCGAAGAGCGCGAGCACTAGCGTTCCCCAGTCAGGGCAAACAACCGATACCACGTCAGGGTCTAACGGACCAAGATCATACGCAGAGGCAGCGAAAACTAACCCTTCACCCATACTAACCAAAGTTCTCGCGAGAAGCGAAGCGCAAGCTCGACAAATTTTGATAGAGAGAAGATCCCCACTTGCTGCCAATTCGTTAAAGGACCTAACGGAGCGCAACTGGTAGCTAAAGCCGCCTTAGCGATCGAACTCCTGACCAAGGACAATGAGGACACCCCTACTAATCTAGCATTCCTATCAGCGCGCAGACTCCCACATGGAGGCGTATTATACGAACTCGACTCAGTAGAATCAGTTCTCTGGTTTAATGTCCCTGCGCATAGAAGCAAGTTCCTCGAACACTTCGGCACAGAGATAGTTATCAAAGACCGATCCTTCCACGTACTAGTCGAGAATGTGCCAATATCCTTCATCCCGGACAACCACGCCGCAATAGCTGATGTAGAAAAGAAGGCAGGCCTCAAACATAAGTCAATATACAGAGCAAGATATATCAAACTGGCAGCCAGGCGCAACCCAGGTCAGCGCACAGCCCACGTCATCCTCACATTCGGCACGAAGGAGGGCGCCAACCAGGCCATCAAGCATGGATTATCAATCGAGGGGAAGAAAGTATATGGCAGGAAGCTGATTCAAGAGCCCACCAGGTGCCTAAAGTGTCACTCATTTGATGGTGCACCACGTCGCTGCTGAATGCCCACAGGAACACGACACTTGCGGAACGTGTAGCAACCAACACAGAATGGCTACCTGCACAATCACTGATCAGACCCAATACCAGTGCAAGAACTGCGATGTCGCAGGACACGCTGCATGGAGCTGCGACTGCCCAATGTTCATAAGCAAATGGGAGAGCTACAAGAACCGCAATGTGGACGCTAAGTATCGGTTCTTCCTGACTGAAGACCCGCTCACGTGGGAAACCCTGAACGACCCACCCCAGCCAAGGGAGAACACAGAGAACCGGAAACCAACACCGAGACCACACCAGAATGTGCAACCCCAAAGCCACCACCATTTCCCACCACCGGAGGATCGCACAAGAGGATTCCAAACCATCCACCACCGAAGACAGCCTCCCCAAGAACACCATGCCCGCAACACGAACCGAGTCCCATTAGGTAATCAGACTCGCATCCTGGAGTCATGGATATCACAACCTCGCCCTCCTCAACATCCCCCACCTCCCCGGGAAAACGAACGGCCTCGCAACAATGATCACGGCTGGTCAAACCACAACCTCGGCTCCCCCTATGACCAGTACAATCCAGGCAGCGGATGGGACCAGGACCACGTAGGTAACCAATGAATGATGACACCAACATGAATCAACCTGTAGGCGACAATCTCAAGATATGGCAGCAAAATCTCCGCAAATCCCTCAATGCCTGGGAACACATGTTAAGAAACCTCAACCCAGAAATATACGACATAGCATGCATTCAAGAACCATACTTCAACCCTGTAAATCTTGCTAACGCTTCTAACTTAAAACAGTTCTGGGACGTCATCTACCTGACTGACCACCACGCCAGTGCGGGGCAGATCAAAGACGCTCATATTGATCAACAAGAGACTATCGAAAAATAACTGGCACAGCGTCCCGATAAAGTCTCCGAACGTCATGGCAGTGGAACTCACAGGCCAATTCAGGAAGCTGCGAATATACAACATATATAATCCGTGCGACAGCGACGCAACCATGCACTTCCTCGAAAGGCACATGGCCTCCGAGAACAATGCCCGACGCAACCCGCACGCAATGGGCCGCTCAAGGCGCAACGGCGCTGCAAATGAACATATTGTATGGTTAGGTGACTTCCAACCGCCACCACCCCATGTGGGAAATGCCACATAACACACACCTATTCACAGCGGCAAACCTAGATGCCGCTGGTACATTAATCAATCTCTTATCATTGTATAACTTTGTACAGGTACTCCCTCCAGCAATAGCAACCCTCGAAGCCTCCAACACCAAGAATCACACCCGCCCCGACAAACGTGTTCTGTTCAGCCCACTTCGAAACAATCCTTTAGTCAATGCAGCATTGAGTACCACTTACGCCCGGTAGTCACTGATCATTTTCCTATCATCAGTACAATAGACCTCCAGCCAGAGCGCACCATCATGACACCCAAACTGAACTACCAAGGAGCCGACTGGGACGACTTCCGCGACACTCTATCTAGAAAGCTCAATGAGATCCCTCAACCAACCGAGCTAACTAGTCGTGACAGCTTCGACGTCGCCTTTGCCAACCTAACAAAATGCATAGCTGACACCAGTCGAAGAAAAAGTTCCCAAAACCAAACCCTCCCCATATGCCAAGAGGTGGTGGTCCAAGGAGCTGGACATTCAACGCAAGGAAGTACATAAACTTGGACGCAAAGCTAAGCGTTTTATAGCTAGGAAAAACGACCCGATACACGAAGAGTACAGAATAGCCCGCAACCGCTTCTCGGAAAGTATCAAGCGAGCAAAGGAGGAGCACTGGAAAGAGTGGCTGGATGAACTTACTACCTTGGGCACCTGGACTCTTCATAAGTATATAGCAAGCGCGCCAACTGACCAAATTCATACCAGAATCAAGACACTTCAAGACCCGAAGCAAACGAACAAAACTGGCACCAACACAAGACAACGCCCGCAAGAGCGAAGCTGCTATACAACGTGTTTTTTCGACCCCCACCAGAAAACGACTACGTAGACCCCAACTTCGAGTATCCCGATCCTGTATGCGAGTTTGAACTGATAACAGATGCCACAGATCCACCGAGCCATCAAAAAGCTCTCCCCCTTCAAGGCCCCCGGTCTCAACGGCATCAGCAATGTAGTGTTCACTGCGCTGCGCAGACCTACTAGTACCCTTCATGGGACCAATCTTTAGAGCCACCTTCACGTTAGAAGTCTACCCTAACGAATGGAAATGTTCGTCGACCATTGTCCTAAGAAAACCAGGAAGGCCGGACTATAGTATCCCCAAGGCCTATCGCCCAATCACTCTCCTAGACACAATGGCTAAGATCCTTTCATCATGCATTGCAGACGATCTAACATACATTTCAGAGAAGAACAACCTCCTCCCACCCACACATTTCGGAGGACGCCCAGGCCGCTCCACAACGGACTCACTACACCTCCTCACCAAGTTCATAACTGACTCATGGGCATCCCAAAACAACCACGTCCTCGCTGCTTTTCCTGGACGTCAAGGGCGGCCTTCCCGAGCGTAGTGGTCAACAAACTAATGCACAATCTTAGGAAAGCTGGCATCCCGCAGAAGTACGTCAAGTGGTATCGAAAGACGCCTCGACAACCGGACAACCTACCTCTTCTTCGACGACTACCAATCCAACCTCTTCAACGTGATAGACGGAGTAGACCAGGGATGTCCCTTGTCACCACTAGGATTCGTTTTTTATAACTCAGGGCAGTGTTAAGAGTACCTGATCCCAATCCGAGACAGGGAGAGCTAGGTCTGGGTTTCCTAGACGACGTCCGCCCCTAGTAGCAAGAGGGAAGTCGTATGAGGAATCCAACAGCAAACTCAAAAGGATGATGGAAAAGCAGGGAGGAGCTCTCGAACGGAGCGAAGAGCATAGTGCAGAGTTTGAGCTCGAGAAAACCTGCGCTGATATGCTTATCCAGCAAAAGGATCCCTGACCCAGACAACCCCCGCAAAACAATCCCTGTCCCTCGACTCCCATCACCATCCGCAACCATACCATACAACCTTCAAGTCGCACAAGTTCCTAGGAGTTATTATAGATCAGAACCTCAACTTCAAAGAACACGCCGCCTACGCAACTGCAAAAGGGACGAAGTACGTGATGGCATGCAGACGGATCATCCGCCCCACAAGAGGCATTCACGGGAAGCTGGTCAGAAGACTCTTTGAGAGCGTTATACTCCCGAAAATGCTCTACGCAGCCGACGTTTGGTGCGCGGGACTCATCGAAAAAGGCAAAGGAAGAACGGGGCGGTCGAGGAGCAAGGGATTCGCGTCCCAGATGGCCAGGGTTTCAGAGGATGGCCACACTGCTAGTAACAGGAGGACTAAGATCAACCGCAACTGATATGTTAGACGCTCATGCTAACGTCCTCCCATTTCAACAGACGCTAAGAAGAACATGCTATCGAGCATCACTAAGGATGGCATCCCTCCCGTCCCCACACCCGTTAGCTAAGGAGATCAGGGCAGCATATGAGTACAGCGCAAAGAGGCAATTCCAGGGGAGAAAACGTTACCCTTCACCGCTTCATAGACTGATGAATGAATTTCAGATCAATCCGTCCAGGATAGAGAAAATCGACCCTGTCAGACATTACCCTAAATGGGAGCCGGACGTCAACACCTGCATTGCGGACTCGACAAAGCAAGCCATCACAGACGACTCCCTAGCCACGGAGGAACTCCGCGCATACTCAGACGGCCCATTGATAGACGGGGGAGTGGGAGGAGCAGCGGTGCTGATGAGGGGAGAGGAGGTAATAAGCAAAACGCCTATATCTGGGGAGTGACGAAGAACATACAGTGTATGAAGCGGAATTAGTGGGGATGATATTGGCAATTCAGTTGTTGAAGGAGGCAGGAGGAAGCAGGGGGGAACAATGGCAGTAGGAGTCGACAACCAAGCAGCAATCCTTGCTACAACGGTGTTCCAATCCAGACCGGGTCACCATCTAGCAGACACATTCCACGACGACCTGCGCAAACTGCTACCACACAAGAACGGCAGAAAACTCGTGATCAGATGGTCGCCAGGCCATCATGGCATAGCAGGAAACGAGGCAGCGGACGAGGAAGCAAGAGAGCCGCAGCAGGAGACTCCTCAGCCACGAAGGAACTCCCCAAATCTCTCCTAGCAAGAAACGGCGCAATCAGAACCCTTCCGCAAAGCAAATCGGCGCTGAAACAGCATTTCTACGGCAAGATCAAGGCCGAAGCAGTCAACATCATGCAAGAATCACCCCGCTTCGCTCACCTGCAATCCATCGACCACACCGCCCCATCCAAGAAGTTCGCAAGCAAGATCGAAGACCTACCAAGGAAACACGGAACGCTAATATTCCATCTACGCACCGGCCACATCGCTCTCAACAAACACCTTCACTGCATAGCCAGAGCGCAATCAGCAGCATGTCAGGAATGCAACACACACGAAGAAACTGTCCATCACTTCCTACTAGTCTGCCCGAAATACGCCAGACAACGCAACGAGCTCAGCATGGAAGTAGGACCGCGACAGCTCAACGTCAAATACTTGCTAAGCGAGGGAAAAGGAATTAGAGCGACACTCAAGTTCATCGCGTGCACCAGAAGATTAGAACAAACCTTCGGAGACGTCACCCCCCCTAAGGAAAAAGAATGAGGAAAAGAGGAAGAGAAAGCCATCAAACGAGAAGAAAACCAACCAACCAATTTGTACTACACTAACACAACGCCTTAAGACGGCGTCACCGTCCTCGCTCACGCACGGACCATTGCACAGCATAGACCACACAAAACATAGAATAGACGCAGCATAGTATAATACAGTACGTAGTGTCCACCATAGGGCTCCGCCCCAAAGGACAATAAACAAGGAAAAAAAAAAAAAAAAAGTTTGAACCGTCATGTCCTTTGTAACCTCCCGGCACTGGTTCTCGATGGTAAGTGTCGGCTTTTAACTGGATCCCTATTTGTGTGCTAACTTTCTATCAGTATCGAGGTCGGTCAGAGAACTACTGACAGTGCGCCAGTTAACGCTGAGAATGTATTTTGACACATTTTGTATCGATGTTATTGTCAATCGATCCAACCATCATCATGGCGTAATATTATGGGCGCACAACGTGAAAGCCCACCCATCACACCGCTATGCGCCAACGCCGCAGCCCATCCAGCCGACCAGAAATTATATACAGTTCTTTTCTTTGAGGAAAGTTACAACATCGTACAAAATAAGTAGGACGCTATCCATCACACGCATGTCCACCATAAACCGCCAATTGCTTAATCATACAACGTTTCATACAGTTCCACCTCCTTGACCACCTCCATGGACATGCCATCAGCCAATCCAGAAACCGCAATTCGCTGAGCTCAATATCGTCATATTGCTTGGACTCCAGGTATTGCTGGATACGGATATATCAGTGGGACTGCGACAACTGCACCAGATATCACATACGCAGACGGTGCTGTAAAACAACTTCAGTAATTGTCTTGATCAAGTCTGCCTTCTTCTGAGAGCGTTTGGCCGACCCTGGTATCCACCGAGAGAAGCCTGCTTCATATGTATGAACAGCAGAGTTCAGAGCTATCCTGACGGCAGCGGCATTGGGGGACGCCATGTATTGCTGGAGAGCGACACGAACAGGGTGAGCGGACTTCCGCTCCTCTTGCTGGTCCAGAAGATAGAAAACGTTTTCGAAGATAATAACAGCAGCTTAAGATCAATAATCAGCAGACTCATTGCAATGTGGCTTAAAATCTCACCAGAACCAAGCTGCATAATTTGCTCCAATGTTGACGACTCAGGGGCTAGCAAACCTTTGAAATGAGAATTATGTGGACGAGCTGTGAGCAATGGGACATGCCAAAAGTCGTAACGTGGACCACATCTCCTCGTCTTCGGGGCGGTAAACCTGATAAATCATGATCAAAAGGCAGAAATGGTCAAGGATAAGTCTACTTGCATCCTGTCATGATTAACATATCAGTGCTGGAGCTCGACGGAGGATCAACACACTCACCCACTGTCAAGGGATCAGGGACGCGTTCGGTCAGCGAGGCTCGAGCTCGACACAGGATCAACACACTCACATACCTGTCCAAGGGATCAGGGACGCGTTCGGTCAGCGAGGCTCGAGCTCGACAGAGGATCAACAAACTCACGCACTGTCAAGGGATCAGGGACGCGTTCGGTCAGCGCGAGGCTCGAGCTCGACACAGTACAACACACTCACAACTCAA